AAGAGCCCTTTCTCTTACAATCCCATTGCCCTTTGATACAATGCCAAACAGGAATGTAGAATGTTTTGATTTCATACATACACCATGGAACAAACGGGCAGTGCATGTAGAACTAAGCTCAGAGGTTATCTGTTTGCTGATGCCAGCTCTGTACCTCCCAATAGCCTAAAGTTCCACTGTTCTGAAACACTTACCTTCCAAGCGTGGTATGTACCCGAGGGGTCGGTTTGATAGAGTCTGGGGGTGCCATCAAAGTCAAAACCCACAATTAGGGCAGAGATACCAAATGGCCTGCGCCCATTGCTCTGTGTGTAACGCTGGAAGAAAAAGAAGCGAGTACTGTCAGCCACAAAGTTCATGCCGGACGGACAATCGGTCGGTAGAGAAAGAAAACTAAGACTCTCACAAGCAACCTGCAATTAGATGGTAAGTGAAACCGAAACCGGGGAACAGCCTTCAATATATCCCTTTCCTCTTAGACACACCCAGGACTGGCAATGTATTGTGCGCCTTCTTTAAAGATTTATTTATGCGTATTTGCCTACATGAATGTGCACCATATTTGTATCTAGTGTCTGGAGGAGGGGTTAGATATCCTGCAAATGGAGTTAGAGACTGCTTGTAAGCTACCTTGTGGGTGCTGGGAATTGAACCTGGGTCCTCAGAACAGGTAATGCCCTTAACTGCAGAGCCATCATCATTTCTCTAGCAGGTACATCACCCATGTTAACTGAGACTACTGGAAGTCACCTCAACACAGGCAGACATGTTCCAGCTACAAGCTGCCTCTGAAGTTCACGAGCAGCTTACCAGAGTTGGGGGTGCCTTTCAGACCCCCTCAACCAGAGAAGCAAGACAAATACTTGTATTCCCCTTCAGAGAACAAGAGTCAGGATGGCTCCAAGCCAGAAGACACAACAGAAGGTGTTGTAAGGGCGAGATGAAGTCACACGGCACCCTGACGGCAGCCAGTGCCTAAGCAAGCACCTACCTGCTTCAGACTGGCAATGTATCGGGTGATATACTCCACAGTCACTGGGTCTTCCACAGTCAGCCGGTGGCTCTGGCACTCTACCCGGGCTCTGTTGATGACTATCCTTGCATCAGCAGTGAGACCTGAGACAAAAAAAAGCTCCTGTCAGGGCAGCTCATGGCTATAACTGAGAACAAAAATGTCAAGCCACACAGCGTTTGATCATCACACCCCAAAGCACAGCAGCTTCTGCGAGCCGTCCTAAGAAGAAGCAAGTACACGAAGAACCATGAATCTGGTTATGCTGGGACTCAGTTTTCTTTAGGGGAATTGAGGCTTCTTGGGGTGGATCTGCTAAAGATGGTGACTGCCATCTCTGTGGTGAGAGTGAGGACAAGAAAGCTACCGTCATCCCTCCAGCCACAGGTGCTCCCCGACTGGAGAGTCAGTGATAGTAGCTGACATGACTAACAGCAGCAGCCAGATCTAGGAATCCCCAGCAGAGATCCCAAACTACAGCCGCTGTTCTTGCTCTGTAGTCCAGGCTAGCCTGGAACTCAAGAGACTCAGATCCACTTCTTTGACTGGATCTCCATTTACCCAGTTTACACCTGTCATGACTGCCCATTCCTGCCAAATGGTCACCAATGCTCCGCTTGCCACCCTTGTCCAACTTATACCTGCAAAGGCCATACAGACGTTATCGTCCAAAGCGCAGATTTTCCGTACTGTTCTTTCATCTTGTAGCTTGGCCACTGATTTTTTTTCCACACCAAGAACGACAATGTCCCTTCCTCGAACACCAACCTTAAATGAAGATACACCAATCAGTTTTAAGAACTGTGTAAGTGGCCGGGCGGTGGTGGTGCACGCACTTGGAGCACTTGGGAGGCAGAGGCAGGCGGATTTCTGAGTTTGAGACCAGCCTGGTCTACAGAGTGAGTTCCAGGACAGCCCGGGCTATACAGAGAAACCCTGTCTCAAAAAAACAAAAAACAAACAAACAGAACTGTGTAAGCAGGACTGCTGTTACTTCCTAATGCAGCAGAGTGGAGTGGGGTTAGGCACACACACAAGGCTTGGTGCAGGAGCCCTGCAGGAAAGTATGCCCACCTATATCTGGCTTACCGCTCGACACACTGCACCACAAATGAGAACCCAGATCCACCCCTGTGGACGAGGACAGGTTATCAGGACCTGAATGCCAATGTCACGCCTTTAAAGCACCCAGGTGCTTACAACTGTACCATAGCTGAACAGTCCTGAGACCCTGAGTGGAAGTCTGAGCTGACTAACCCCCGGGCCACAATCCTGCCTCTCCACACTGCACACAGTACTGGCAGGACCCAGTGTGCTGCAAAGTGAAGCACTATCCACTGTTTAGACAAGAAAATGGGCCGGGAATGTGGGACGGTGCTTGCCTACCCCCATCAAAACCAAAATCAAACCAAACAAATGTTCTGGGATATTTGATCAGACTGTGAACCTCAAGACGATGTTATTTACTAACAACAACTTTTTAGTGGTGGTATGGCTCAGCCTCAGCACACACCTTCAATCTAAGGACTTTCTGCTTGATCGATCACAGGTCAAGAGGCAGGGCAAGCAACCAGTTAGCCGGAAATGAACATAAGATTATTAAAAAAAAAAAAAAGAGTAAGAGGAAGTCAGGAGGATGCACAGAGACACACACAAGAAGCTTAAGGAGGGACATTTGAAGGTTTTCTGAGTCAGCGAGAGGGGGACAGCATTCCTGGTGGGACACTGACTGAGGAGGAAGGTCAGTTGGGTTCTTTCTCTGCCTCTCTGAGCCAGCATCTGGTTCCCAAGTTTTTATTGGTAAAATCCAACGATTGAGATTTTGTTAAAACAACAACAACAACAAAACTCCACAATAAACCTAGGAAATTCACTGACAGATAACCCTTTGATCAAGAGAGGAACAGAAACAAATGTAGCAATCCCTGAAAGGGCGGTTGGGCAGAGGGCAAAACTCCGTGGCAGCTCCCTCAGACTCGGGACAGGATCCCTGGCTCCATTCCTCCAGATACCAGGAACCTTCCACAAGGCCTACCAAGGGTCTGGAGTGATTTCACAAGTCCCTTCTGTGTTGACTCTTGTGACCTGCAGGATCCAGAGAAGCTAGCTGGGTTCAGCAAGCAGCTGCCAGGTGGGAGCACAGGAGACAGGCACCCCAGATTCCAGAACATTCCTATTGGGTGCATGGAGACCAGAGGTCCTTACACCGGTGTCTTCCTGAAACCCATCTCCAACTTCAAAAGCAGCTTTATTTTTAATTAAGCATGTTGTGTCTGTGCACCTGAGTGCAGCTGCCCACGGAGGCCATAGGTGATGGAGCCCTTGGAGCTTAGTGTAAGACAGTTTAGATCCTTACAACCTGGGTGCTGGAAACGGAACTCAGTACTGTCCAAGAACGATCTGCACTCTTGAACTGCTAGGTCACCTCGCCAGCCCTCCAACCGTCTTTTGTTGTTGTTGTTGAGACAGGGTCTCACACTGAACCTGAAGCTCACAGATTCTGCTACACTTACTGATCAGCAAGCCCAGTGTATCCTCCTGCCTCTGCCTCCGAGGTGCTGGGATTCCAGGCATGTCACTGGGTGCAGTTGCCTTTAAAAACAAAAGTGGGTGCTGGGAGCCTCAGAGCAAGCAAGCACTTCACTGATTTAGCTATCTCACTAGCCGCACAGGTTTGTTTTGTCTTGAAAGACGGCTTCTCACTAGTCATTACCTCTTGGGATTGGAGACGGCTCGGCGGCTAAGAGTACTGGTTGCTCTTCCACAAGACCCCAGGTTCAATTCCCAGCACCCACATGGCAACCTCCAGTTCCAGGGACTCTGCCACTCTCACACAGATTTTATATATATACATATATATATATATATATATATATATATATATATGTATGTATGTATATATATATATATACAAACAAAATGCCGAATGCATATAAAAATAACTTTAAAAAATAATTAGTTAATAACGCACACATACACACAGAACCACAAAGAAAGAGGGCCTTTAGTTTTAGAACGTTCTAAATGCCAGGATTATATAGGCCCGCAATTCCAAGCCTGGTCATTCCAGAATTCTTGGGTGGGTCGGGTCACCAAAAACTTGGGGCTTTAGTTTCAAGGAGATAAAATACCTGGGAAATGCTAGCGCTTCAACACTCAGAACCACGTGTGTCCCAGAAGATCCGGTGACTCGGGAAAAACCAAAACCAAAACTAAAACTGTCTCACGGCTGGCGCTTGCAGGTGTGGAGCAGCCCCTTTCGAAATAGCACTAAGGTCTCTGAACAAAAACTGGGGCGCGGTGAGAGGGGCCCACCGGAACCACAACACGGTGTCGGTGGCACAGGAGGACCCGGAAGCAGCCTGTCACCATCGCAGGACCGACGAGACGCCCTTTGTTCACAACGCCCACCTGGGCCTAGCTCGCAGATCCCCAAGTCCCCGCCGGCGCTGACTATAGCCAGCCTCCCGCCGCCCGCGCGCACCTGCGGCCTCCGCCATCCGCGCCGCGCGCACAGCACCAAGATGGCCCCGGCCCAGCCCGGGGGATGCGCTCGCCTAGACGCTCAGCAGCGAGGAAGCCAGGCAAAGCAGCCTGACTCTCCGGGGAGTGCGGCGCAGCCCCCGCGGCCCGGCGCCCTTCCTACGTCGTCACCATTCAGCTCCCGTCACCTCCCGGGCCACCCGCCGCCAGCAGATAGTGCGGCCTCCGCGCCCAGGTCTGGGTGCCCCGCTTCCTTGTGCACCCCGCCGCGCAGGCCCCCGGCCGGCTCACCGCGGTGGAGCCCTTCTTGACCGCCTCCTGCGCGTACTCCACTTGGAAGAGGTGGCCGTCGGGCGAGAAGACGGTGATAGCGCGGTCGTAGCTCATCACTGCGGACGCGAGAGCTCGGGCCGCCGCCGCTCAAAAGCGCACACTCACCGTCAGCGCCCCGCCCGCCCGGGCCACGCTGCTGGCGTCTGCGGCGTCCGGCGTCAGGGGGACGTGCGGCGCGGCGGGGCGGGGCAGGGCGGGCGGAACCACCGAGGCTCAGCACAGGGGGCAGCGTAGCGGCGACCGGCTGGACGCAGAGCGCAGGCCGGGTGCAGGGGGGCTCCGCGCGGGATCTGGTCCCGGGAGGCAGTCGCGTAAGGCGCGGGGACGCGGGAGGCTCGAGTGCGCATTGGCGACAGGCAGGCGGGCGAGCCCACGGCACCGCGCCCCCCGTGCCCCCGCCCCCGCGCTGCGGAGAATGGGCACCTCGGGCCGCGGGGCGCAGCCAGAGAATAAACCCCAATGATCACGGGCTGAGTCCGCGCCGCCACCATGTCCGTGGCCTTCGCGTCGGCGCGGCCGAGAGGCAAAGGGGAGGTCACTCAGCAGACCATCCAGAAGGTGGGCAGGGCTGAGGGAATACGGAGTGCGGGTGGGCGCGGGGCACGAACAAAGCCGGAGCACAGCCCGCAGCACGGAACCCTCACGGCGGCTCCGCGCACCCCCAGGAAAGCCTGCGCCAACTTTGCCGGAGGCACTGGCAGCGGGGGCCCGGTGGCCGCAGGGGGTGGGGACTCTGGAGCTCGTCGCGCGGTGTCTTCCGAGAGCGCCCCAGGCAGCAGACGCGGCAGTGCGAGACGCCAGGGCCCGAGGCCCCTCCAGCCGGGGCGGGGGTTCGTCGCGCTCCGCTGACAGCTCTGGTAGCGACGGTCGCGCGCCTTTGCGCGCTGCTTGGCGAGTGGAGAAGGGGGCACAGGCAGCCTGAAGGCGCGCCGCTGCGGCGAGTTGGCCGCTCTCGTGAGGTACTGCGGTGCCCTGCACAAAGGGACGCATCCAAAGTGTGCGTGCCATCCCCAGGGCCCGCACCGCTGTCCGGAGCTTGCTGCACGCGGCGGACCTGAGGCTAGCGCAGCCCCGCCCCCGCTCGGGCCACTGGGTATCAGCGCCTCGCCTCCTGCACCCTGGTTTCAGACACCGCAGGTTTGTCCTGCAAGTCTCTCTCGGTCCCATCCTTTAGTTTGGGCCAGTTTCTCAGAGAAGGCGTTTGCGTGGGTTTGTGGACATCTTTAACAAAAGGAAGCTTTAAGTTTTGACATGGACAGTTTAGCGCTTTACTGTTTGTCTTCGGGGTTCTGAGCATCTTTCTTATGCTCTGGCTTTTCTTAATTCTCGTTCCTTCTACAGAATTCTTGAATTATCTTGATCCAATTAGATCCCCAAGGGCACTGACTTCTCTACTCCCTCATGTCCTGAAAGGCTTGGGGGGGGGGGATTTCCGTCGATTGTCACCTGTTTTCCGGTTCACCCTTGCTGTACCTCCTTAGGAATATAATGGTTATCACAGTTGGCAGGCCCTAGTCAGCTTTGAGCAGGGGAGATTATTGGAGCAGAGCAGAAATACAGGTTTTATAGATCTTACCACATTTAACTTTTTGCAGAAGTGACTTAGTGAAGGAGTCTGAGACTGCAGAGGCTACGTGGTAGAGCTAATAGTAGCCCTTCCGTGTGCCTCCACAGACTGCTGTCACTGTGGCCATAGACTAGGAGCCTTGGTTGGTGGAGAGTGGACTACTCCACACATTGGAAGTCTGGACAGTATCCAGGCACTCTGGCTGCTGGATCTTAACAGTCACTGTTTCCAAAGCCACCTTTGGCTTCAGCATGTATTCAGAATTTTGTAGTCACACTTGCCCATCCAAGATCCTCAATTCCTCCAGGCAAAAGTTTGTTGGAGGACTACCCCAAACATCAGATCACAAAGAGGGGATGCTTGCTGACTTCAGTCCAGGGCAGAAGCTCAGCCTGTACATCTTTGGAAGTGGGTCTTCAGTTTAGCCTGTCAAGGCCCTTGTCCTGGTAGGGCCCAGCAATCCACTTCCTCTCTCTGAATCCTTTACTGAAAGGGCTTGAGGGGATGTCATATACTTAAAACGTATACTCTGACCTGGCTTGATGATGTACCACTGTAATCACATTCTGAAGCAAATGTGGCAAGATGGAAGGTTGTTTAAGGGACAGCCTGAACTACATGACAAGTTCAAGGACAGCTCAAGCTGTATAGCAAGACCCTGTATCAAAACCAAGGGCTAGGGATGTATCTTAGTAGTAAAACTCCTATCTAGCATGCAAAACCGTAAACTACACACACACACACACACACACACACACACACACACACACACAGTGTGCTAACCAGCCCATGCCAAGACCACTGGGGAGAGCCAGGGATTCTGGAGAAGGACAGTGGGTGGTGAAAGCAAACGAAATAACAGCTTGTTCTTTGAGATCCTGCTCAACCTTCACAGTCCCACAGAACGTCCTCTCCTTTATCTTCTCTTGACAGTCACAAGGCCATTGTAGACTTTGAGGTATTGTTGGTGGCATATGAGTTAGCATGTACTGAGATGGCCTTTGCTGGTCCCTAGTCTTGTATGGTGCACCCAATATACTATAGAATCTGTAGCACAGGTACTACCTAAGCAGATGTATTCGTGTCCCGTAACTTCCCTGACTGGCCACAACCCAGGTGACATTAGACAACAGACTTCACTCATTCACTCTGGAGCTATGAAGAGCAGCTAACTGCCTTCCTTTCATCCCGCAGTTCCGGGGGAGGCGACCTCATGCCTTCTCAACTTCTGGTGTCTGCCACAGCCTTTGGTGTCCTTTGGTCTGCAGTGAGATCTCTATTTTCCTCTTCTGGGCTCTCCTCACCTGTTTTCCTCCCCTCTTCTTATAAGGATAATGGTAGCATTCATTCACACACAGCCTTTTTTCCAAGTCTAGGGGCTTTCCATAGAAGCAAGGGTGCGAGGTCAGGAAATCTGAGCAAGCTACGAATAGTTCTAGGTGTGGTCTGCAGGGAGTGGGGACCCAGAGTGAAAGTCTGGAGAGCTAGCCTGACCTGGAGCAGGTGACTTTGTGACAGAGCACTGGTACCCGAGAGAGGGATGTAATCAGAACTGTGTTTTTGTGAAGACAGTGTGTATGCCTGAGATCCTGAGGTGGAGCTGCAGCTGGCTAGAGTCCTCAGAGACACCACTGACCAAGGACCAACTCTGTCTTCCTCTCCACTAGCTGAGGGCCATAGTATACCAACATCCAGCACTGTGCTGATGCAGGCAGCCAGGGTACAGTACAGTGATTCCTATGGCTACCTGCCTATTAGAAGGCCCTCTGGACGCCCCCTGCTGTTTCATACAACAATTACACAATAAAAGTTATTTGTCTCTGTTACTGATTATATTGGCTTTTATTTTTTTTTTAATTCTTAAGTACATGAGGGATACATGTGCCACAGTGTACAGGTCGAGGTCAGAGGATTGTGGAGGCAGTTCCTTCTCCTTTGACATGGGTTCCAGTCTCTAGGTTTCTAAAGCCAATCCAGTTAGGAAGGCAGCTTGGTTGTTTGGAGAGGTAGAACTGTCCCCATAATGGTGAAAGCCACGTGGAGCTGACTCTGAGTCTGCTGTGGAAGTGGAAGAGCACTGGCTCTGGGGTAGCTGTTCTTGAGCGTTGAGCAACAGTCCTCCTCAGGGGAGCACAGAGTCTCTCTTCCCGTCTCTAGAATGGGGAAGGAATGATATCCCTTCATTCCTCAGTCTGGAGTCCAACTTGGGGAGGGAACAGCCCTTTGGCCTCTTTGCTTTCTGTCAGACAAGAGACCACTCTGCATGATTCTCAGCCTGAGCTTTGCATTCCTCGGATAGAGAGATGCGGGGACAGGTATTCTTTGGAAAGAGACACACAGGCCTGTGCCCTCTGCTCATCGAGGCCTGGCTGGAAACACTCCCGAGAAGGCATCTCTGGCCAAAGGCCAGATCTGTTCCCCAGTCTCAATGGGAGAATCAACTTGGAACAGGATTCGGTGTCCATCATCTTACACCCCTTCCCTTTGTGTGCCTTTGGAGAGAACACCTCTGCTGTTTGGTACACTGTGTTCTGCCTTAGGCATGTTCTAGATTTCTGGGCCAGCAGGCTTGCTTACCACTATGTCTGTGCGTGGAGCCCAGGGCTATTTCCATGAAGTCCCCAAGCTACAGGCGATGAACGCACTGTGTCCAGCAGGTTCAGTGAGGGCTAGATATGAGCACCAGTAATCAAGAGTGTGGAACTGAAGCTGAGAAAAGCCGTCAGGCTTCATAGTCTAGTCCATGGCACAAAGGCCCTAAGGAGTAGGCCGTGGGGGGTGGGGGAACTGTAAAATGCTGTGTAGAACAGGCTGTGGTCAGGGCCACTCTGTGCTACCTTTCAGATTGTGCCTCAATGTAAGCATGTACATACGGGGTCCTCTGGTGTAGAGGAATTTTAATCTAGTAGCATAGCTGTTCTAGCAAGTGATCATATCCAAAGACTGTGGGTCTTTGTGATCTGGCTGAAATGTAGACATACTCGTAGTAGTACACACCTTCAATCCCTAACAGTGAAGGTAAGGTTAGCTTTTAGAAGGAAGCAGCCATGCTTGAAAGCTATGTTTAATTGAGGGGCAAACAAAGTGACAAATCAGAGAAAGATTTGACAGAATGAGTCGAGGATAGGATACATTTGGGTCACACAAAAACAACACAGGAAAGAGAGGTGATATAAAAGTAGGGGCTGGAGAGATGGCTCAGTGGTTAAGAGCACCGACTGATCTTCCTTCCAGAGGTCCTGAGTTCAATTCCCAGCAACCACATGGTGGCTCACAACCATCTGTAATGGGATCTGATGCCCTCTTCTGGTGTGTCTGAAGATAGCATACATAAAATAAATGAATAAATCTTTAAAAAAAAAAAAGATTAGTGAGAGAGGGAAAAAAAGGAGTGAGTGTGTGTGTGTGTGACAGTTTTACAGAGACAGGTTGCAGAGAGAAGCCAGACACAGGTGAAAATAGAATGAGCCAGAGAATGAGAAGGAGCCAGAAGATCAGAACGTATTGCCTGTGTTCTAGGAAGCCATGGAATGAGTGTAAGGCCAAGCAGAATTCAGTCAAAAGCCAAGAGAAGGCAGATTGAATCAGTCAGCTTGGAAAATTAGATTGTACAGAGGTTTGAAGCTTCCAGGCCTAGGCATAACAATAGTTAGCCCAGGCTGTGTATTTGCATAGCTTGAGTACAGTTCTCATCCCATCATCTGAGGGAAATAAAAATGACGTTTACATTCTGGACTGCGTGAGAGCAAAGAGGCCTACTCAGGCTTCTTGGGCTCAGATTCTCTTCCATCAGTTCTACCTGACAAGTGCTTCCTGGGCCTCAGTGTCCTGCTTTTAGAGTGAAGATGATGTTGAGTTGAAGCTACTCAGGCAGGCAGTATGGATGGGCCAGACGTCTCAGTGTCAATTTGCAAGAGGACTGAGGACTCCCTAGGAAATGGTAGAAAACCGGCCAGCCCAGAATCTTGTAAAGAGGCAGTTTGTGGCATGTGGTTTGGATTCATCTGAGCATGCAGGGTTTTAATGTCATCTGCCATCTGTGTATCTTTCTTCAGCCCAGAGATTCTCACGGAGGCAAGGTGCTGTGCTGTGCTGTGCTGTGCTGTGCTGTGCTGTGCTGTGCTGTACTGTACTGTACTGTACTGTGCTGAGCTAACTCAGTCTTCTAAGTATTCAGAGATGCACAGGACCAGAAATGATACCCGTGTTGTCTGAGAAAGATGGAAACATACCATATCTGTGATCATGTACTTTACTCTGTGTGTAGTCTTTGAAAACTGGACATACGTGTTAAGCGTGGTGTTGAGACTACAAGGCTGTGTGTACCTCCCATGTGCACGGCCTTTGTGTGACTTTGGGACTGCTTTGAAGCTTGCACAGCTAATTCACGTCTTGTGCAGTGGGTGAATGTTCAGTAGGTCTGTAGCACTCTCCCAGAGTGTGCTTAGGTCAGGCATCCGTCTCCTAGAAATGACTCAAAGACAGCTGCATCACCAAAGGCCTCTCTAGCGTGAGTGACAGCTCACAAAGCTGGAAACCTGCAGCAAACTACACAGGCTGCAGACTCCTCAGCAGGTTGGAGAGCCTCTTTCAGGTGGGTAGGCGTGCCTTGAATCTTCTTAGCAGTCCTTACTGCTTATATACTCTTGAAGCCTGTTGAATCTAGCCAGTTTCAGGGACTTCCTGAAGTTATATTGAGTTGTTTACTTCCTGTCCTAAGGAACGTCCCTGTAGAATGGAGTGTTTTTGTCAGATGTCTCACTTCCCCTTTCACATCCTGGTCTTTAGAGAGTTTTTCTCCATGAAGGAAGGTTTTAACTTCAGGAAACAGGGAAATTAGATGGACATTTGTGCTCAGACCTCAGCCCGTGGACTGGAACCACTCATAATGGATGATGGGTCTTGTCACTGCAATCTAATCTAGGTAATCCTTCAGTTCTAGGCACTTGTGAGCTTTTTGAGTGGGTACTAGGAATTGAACTTGGGTCCTCCACAAGATCAGCACTGCCTCTTAACCATCAAGTCATCTCTCCGTCCCTATTTTGATTTTCAACCAGGTCTCAACTGTGTAGTTATGACTGGCCTAGAACCCACAATGTAGATTAGCCTTCAACTTTTGACACTCTTTCTGTCTGAGCATTGGTGTTAACGGGCACACACTGCCATACCTGGCTTTTGTTTTGTTTAAACTAACAGATTTTTAACTTCCATGAGCTTTTTTGGGGAAGGGCTCCCTGTAGTTTTTATTCTATATATTGGTATGCCTGCATGGCTGCCATGGCTGAGGTATGGAGGTCTATGTTGACTTTATTTGTTGGTTGGTTCTGTTTTGTTTTTGTTCTTTGAGACAAGATTTCTCTGTGTAGCCCTGGCTGTGCTAGAACTAACTCAGTCCAGGCTGGCCACGACTCAGAGATCCACCTGTTTCTGCTTCCTGAGTGCTGTGTGTATGAGCCACCAATATCCAGCTATTTTTTTAGAGATTTATTAATGTATTTATATATGTGTATATGTAAAACTATGTATATACACAGACCCACATATATACAAATGTGTATATATATATACACACACATATATATACACAAACGTATATACACACATATACACACATATGCGTGCACCCACGCATGTGTGCACGCACTGGGGCAGGGGTGGTGGTGGAGCACTCTATCTGCATGCCAGAAGAGGGCATCAGATCCCATTACAGATGATTGTGAGCCACCATGTGGTTGCTGGGAATTGAACTCAGGACCAGTCAGTGCTCTTAACCACTGAGCCATTTCTCTAGCCCTATTTTTTGTGGGTTTGGTTTTTTGTTTTTGTTTTTGTTTGAGACAAGGTTTCTCTGTGTAGCCCTAGCTGTCCTGGAACTCTGTAGACCAGGCTAGCCTTATACTCACAGAAATCTGCCTTTCTCTGTGTCCAAGTGCTGGGATTAAAAGCATGTTTAAATAGCTCTGTTATCTTTCATTAATAGAGTAACTTGTCTTTATTGTTGTGTTGTGGTTATAGAGTTGTTGTTTTCGTCATGATTTTGGTTGTTCCAGGTGTTGGCCATTTGAGGGATCAGATTGGAGTTCTACGTGTTAGGCAGATGCTCTACCGCTGAACTGTATACCCAGCCTTTGGGTTTAGTGTCTCACCAGAGGACAGGCTTCCTCCACAGGCTGACAGTGGCCATCATGGATCAGCTCTGTTGAGACTGGGACAGGGTCCAACGTCCTTGTGGGGCAGCCAGAGTTGTCATCCTCTATGTGAAACACTCTCTGCCTTCCAGGTGCACGGTGTTTCCTTGCAGACACTCCTGGAGCTCCCTTCCTTCATCCCTGCTAGCAGGGTCCAGGTAGGAGGCAGTCCTGTCCTGAGCCTTGACGACCACTGTTCAGGTCTTACCTGTCCATTTGTTTTTCTCCTTAAGATCCACAAGTGCCAGCACTTGTCCTGTTCTTGTGGTCCTTGAAAGTTTATACATTCTGGTTCCAGCAGGCAGATCTGTGAGGGTCTGGTGCTCTTGGCATGTGTCCTGTCTTTCCTATGAATGTCTTTAAACTAAGCAAGCCAGTACCCCATTTGTTGTTTTAAGAAAGCATAGGCTGGAAATGGGGCTCAGCAGGTCAGAGCGTGTTCTCCCCTTGCTGAGGCTCCAAGTTCAGTTCCTTTCACCCTCACTGAGCAGCTCACAACCACCTGTAACTGCGGCTCTAGGGAATCCGACCCTCCTCTTCTGGCCTCTGTGGGTACCTGCACACATCATGCACATACCAACACACAAGTAAATACATACACACATAGTTTAAAAAAAAACAATTCTTAAAACGTGGCATCAGTTCAGTGCTTACAAATGCTAGGTCCTTTGCGAATCAGCACTGCCTCTTTGTGTGGCTATACCGTAAAGCTGTCACCAGCCTCTCTGCATCTTCCCTTTGGCTGTTGTGTCTAACGCTTACACAACCTGGACTTGTTGTAGTAGGTTTACTTAGTGTCCTTGGAGAGTGCCTCTCCTTGAGAGTAAGGGGTTGAAGGAGAGGGTGCTGGGAGCCTTGCTTGTGTGTGTGTGTGGGGGGGGGGGGGGGGCGTGGGTGACCCTGGAGAAAGTCCTTCCCTGGCCTTTAGAGCACTCTTGCTGATCACAAGCAGCATCTGTATGGCAGCGCCCCCTGGTGGGCACTCAGTCCAGAATGTGTTGTCATCTCACCCTGGGAAGGAAAACAGTGGAGTGGAAGTGCTTTGACCTACAAAGGATCAGGACAGGGGAGACTGCACCTGAGGCTCCACAGACTGAGGTGTGGATCTGGGAGCTGGTCAGAGGCACAGGACAGAGACAGAGGACAGGTCCAGAGACCCGCGCTGCAAAGTGTAGAGGGAAGGGCAGCAGGCAGCCTGAAGGAAGAGGACAAGCATTTGTTTTTGTGAAGGTGGAGGAAGGGCCTGCCTGGTGTGAGTGCATGAGTACAGACCCTGTGTGGCATAGGAAGTAGCAGTTGTTCCAGGCTTCCTCCCCCAGGGACACTGGTCACTCCAGGTAGAAGTTGCTCATTGCTGTGCCTGCTGCCTGTCCTCAGCCCACTGGCTTGCCATACTTCTGTCCCCTCCCATCTCTCCCTCTGTCTTTCTCAGATGCCCCAGAAATCCCTTGTGTACTGTGCCTGTCCGTAAGCTTGGCCCCCTTCACTCACAAGCATTTTCACACTCTGTGTCCCTGACCTTTCACTGTTACTTGTCACTGGAACCAGTACATCCCAGAACAGCCCTGGGGTCTGTGGAGGTCAGACCTCACACGACCAAGTTTGGGAAGAGTACACTAGAATCTCCAACAAGCATGTCAGCACATCCAGGACACCTTGGGAGCTCAGCCCCGTGCCTTCCAGCGCTGCCATTTGTACCAGCCCCCTGGGCCGGATCAGGCTTGGGATCTACATTTCTGACCAGTTCTCTACAGGGCCTGTTGAAGTGAGGATCAATTTCCTTCTCCCTGGAATAGAGTCTCCGGCTTGCACATTTCTGGAAGCCCACGGTCCATCTCTGGCATGTTCATGCCTGACCGTTCATACATGTGAACTCCATGAAGCTGTTTTCTAATCCAGACCCTATATGATGTGTAAGACAGTCTCAAAACAGGGCCAGCCTCTACAGAGTGTAGCCTGGGTCTCTGCCCCACTTCCTTTCATGTCCTCAGGGCTGAGGGAGATCAAAAAGGACCATCTGCAGGTTGGTGGTCAGTCTTCTCATTGTCTTGCCTAGTCTTGTGTGTCAACAGTACCTTCTACCGGCCATGACATATCCTGGGCTTCTCTCACTGGCCCAGACTGAACAGAGCCTGCAGGGATGGACATAAGCTGCCCCATCCCGGCCTCTCGTGGAGTTGTGATTTAAGGGTCTGTAGGAACATTTTTAGGTAGAGGCTGGGACCTGGAGTGGGTGGCCCTAGCACACTCCCCAGGGGTCTTGGCATCCCAGTTGTGAACCAGCTGCTGTGTGACCTTGCATGTATGACCTTGTATGTACCCTGCTTACCTCTTCCCCAGATGCTGGATGAGAACCACCACCTGATCCAGTGCATCCTGGACTACCAGAGCAAGGGCAAGACAGCTGAGTGTACCCAGTGAGTAACTGTGCCAGCCCAGGACCCAACCCACCCCCGGTCTCTGTGATTGCCTTCTCCATGTGCTGGGAAGGCTTCCTTGGTACAGAGCAGGGAGGTCACACGTGGCCCCCAGAAGGCAAGTGGAGTGGGAAGCCTTCCTATCAGGGCTTGGGAAAAGCAAGAAGGTGACATGGAGAGCTGTTTCTACAGCCTCCATTGATGGGTGCCAGTAGTAGACCCAACCAGAAGACAGTTTGTGCCTCTGGGTGGGTGGAGTACCTCAGACCTCTCTCTCACCTTTACAAAGGGCCTTGGGTCTCCTGGGTCCTCAACTTGTGCAGCTGGTCCAAGAGAAGTGAGACCTTGCCTGGTGTGCTATGTGGGTGAGGAGCCTCAGTCCCTTGGGCTCTTCCTGTTTCCTTCCAGGGCTCTTCAGGATGGAGTCAGCCTTACATCTGGCTCTGGCTCTGTGGAGCAGGGCTCTGTTCCCTGTTGCCGTGCCGTGATCTCCTCCTCTCCCATCGACTCAGTACCAACTTCCTCTTGGCTCACACCTCAGGGTCTTCCCAGGGTTTAGTCATGGAACAGGAGCCTGCTTAGGACTTGGCTGGACCTGTCCCCTGTCTACCCCATGCTGGACTGTGGAGAGCAGCCAGCTGCCTGTCTCCAGCCTGGCCTGGGTGTCAGTATCCCTGTCCTGCCAGGCTTGAGGTTGAGGCTGACTTGGTTAGCTTTGGCTCTGCGTTGGATGTGGCAGCTTCACCTGTACGCTTCTCCACAGGTACCAGCAGATCCTGCACCGGAACCTGGTCTACCTGGCCACCATTGCAGACTCCAACCAGAACATGCAGTCTCTGCTTCCCGCGGTAGGTACCGCAACCAGTTTCTGAGTGTATCACCTCAAGTAGACAGGTGACCAACAGCAGCCCAGAGCTATGAGGCATCAGAAATTAGGGGTTCTGGGAGAGATTGTAAATGGCTATGGTAGACAGGAAGAATTGGGACTTAGCAAGTCTTTCTAGGTGGACTCCTTTAATCCTAGCACTTGGGAAGCTGACACAGGAGGACTGCTGTCAGTTTGAAGCCAGGGTGGGCCATATATCAAGTACCAAGCTAGTTAAAACTACACATTATGAATCCTGTCTTAAAAAAAAATAAAGAGGGGGCTGGAGAGATGGCTCAGCAGTTAAGAGCACTGACTGCTCTTCCAGAGGCCCTGAGTTCAATTCCTGGCAACCACATGGTGGATCACAACCATCTGTAATGGTATCCGATGCCCTCTTCTGGTGTGTCTGAAGATAGTTACAGTGTTCTCACATATATATAATAAATAAATCTTAAAAAAAAAAAAAGGAAGTTAAAAGGGGAAATCCCCAGTGCAGCCATGTTCCAGATATTGCTATAAATATCTTACTGACTGTTTGATTTTCTGTAAATGCATTTTCCCCAAATTAAACTTTAACTGTGATGTCGGATCCTGTGCCTGTGGTCAAGTGAGGTAACATGGCCAAGAAAAGGAGTCACCCCATGATAACCAAGGCTGACTGCAGGTGCCGGGGCAGACGTGTTACTGGGAAATGATTCACCCCTGGTACATGGCCCCCTTGCAAAGTGGAGAGGTTACAGGTGCCATCACCTTGGTCAGCTGTGGTGTTGCTCCTGCTGGAGACGCCCCCTTCTCATTTCTTTTCAGTACTGGGGTTGAACCTGGAGCTTTGTGCATATGAAGCTATGTCCTCGGGCCTCTTCTTACATAAAAATAAGTTTTAATTCTCCAGGTCTAACTGTTTTGCCCAGGCTGAACTTGAACTCACTCTGTAGCCCGGGCAAGCCTTGAACTTGTCATCCTCCTGCCTTCTTCTCTGCTGAGACTGTAGGCCTGCAGCATAAAACCAGTAGCTGTGCAATTCCCATGGGTCACTGAGTCCCCGAGTGGCTCTTGGTTGGTCCTTATTCTCTGAGCTAACTCTCTCTTGCTCTAACCTGTCTTCTACAGCCTCCAACACAGAACATGAGCCTCGGCCCCGGAGCACTGAGTCAGACCGGTTCCAGCCAGGGCCTGCACCCCCAGGGCAGCCTCAGTGATACTGTCAGCACAGGCCTGCCCCCTGCCTCCCTCATGCAGGGCCAGATCGGTAACGGTGAGCAGGTTTGCTGCAGCGATGTCACCAAGGTAGCTATAGATAGCAGTCTATAGTGGCAGCCTACGCCCAGCAGGGCTGGGCACAGTGCCTTCCCTCCTGTCCTGCGCCCACCTCTCTCCCACTATCCTGGCCGCAGGTACTCCTCTAAACCATGCAGAAAACATGAAACTGACTCCAAGTGCCCAGGTCCACTTGACTCTGTCCTGTGGCATTTAATGTCATGTGCTTCTGCATGCCTTCTTTAAGAATAAAGGTGTGGCCGGGCGGTGGTGGCGCACGCCTTTAATCCCAGCACTTGGGAGGCAGAGGCAGGCGGATTTCTGAGTTCGAGGCCAGCCTGGTCTACAGAGTGAGTTCCAGGACAGCCAGGGCTACGTAGAGAAACCCTGTCTCGAAAAAAAAAAAAAAAAAAAAAAAAAAAAAAAGAATAAAGGTGTGGTGTTGCCGCTGCCCATGCTGCAAAATAAGAACTCCTAATACCAAGTAGGGAACAGTGACATGTGGTGTATGGTGTGTGTGTGTGTGTGTGTGTGTGTGATTTATCACTCACCCCATTCCTAAATGTTACTGACCTGGGGTTAACCTTCCTCTTCAAAGTCATCTGAAGGGAACTTGGATGTCTTTACTTTGAGGTGGAAACCTGGCCTCCTGTGCCTGACGCTCCCTCTCCTATCCTTCCTGGCAGGTCCAAACCATGTGTCCATGCAGCAGACGGCCCAGAGCACACTGCCCACAACCTCCATGAGTATGTCAGGCAGTGGTCATGGTACTGGGCCTGGGTACAGCCACTCGGGACCTACCTCACAGAGCGTCCCCATGCAAGGGCAAGGTGCCATCAGCAACTATGTGTCTCGGACCAACATCAACATGCAGTCCAACCCAGGTACTGTCCCTACACCTGGCCCCTAAAGGGCAGCCCTCCTGGTGAGTGCTGGCTCTTCCCAAGGCATTTCCACAGGACTGGGTTGGTGGACAAACAGTGACTCAGTCCTGAGTGGTTGCTCAGAGGCCTCAGAAATTCCAAGGAAAGGGAGCCACTGGCTGAGGGTCTTGAAAGAGGAACACTAGTCTCAGGTGAGGGACCCTGGCAAAGACTGGAAGTAGAAAAGATAAATGGAGGTCACAGGTACTAAGCTGGAGGTCACAGATCTGGAGGTCACAGGTACTAAGCTGGAGGTCACAGATCTGGAGGTCACAGGTACTAAGCTGGAGGTCACAGATCTGGAGGACACAGGTACTGGAGCTGGAGGTCCAGGCTTTCTGCCGAGCAGGGGCCCCAGGTTTATAGTAGATGCTGAGCATAGATATAGCCATCCAGAGGATCATGGAGTACCTGGGACATGGTAGGTCCCAATCCAGGTATTCCCTGAGTATCAGAGACATAGGTCTCAGAGGAATGTTGTAAAATAAGATGGAATGTTTCCTTAATATTTCCTGTAATCATAACACTGTAGGTTTATTTTGCAAGTACAGTGTTACAATGTTTCCTATAGTCATAACACTGTAGGTTTATTTCACAAGTACAGTGTTACAATGTTTCCTATAGTCATAACACTGTAGGTTTATTTCACAAGTACAGTGTTACAATGTTTCCTATAGTCATAACACTGTAGGTTTATTTTGCAAGTACAGTGTTACAATGTTTCCTATAGTCATAACACTGTAAGTTTATTTTGCAAGTACAGTGTTAACAATGTTTCCTATAGTCATAACACTGTAGGTTTATTTTGCAAGTACAGTGTTACAATGTTTCCTTGAAGAGTATTTCACCTGTTTTCTTTTTTTTCAACATGGATACTAGAAGCTTTTCTTTTCTTTCTTCCTTTCTTCTTTTCTTCCTTTTTTTCTTCAGTGCTAGGGACTATACACAGGGCTTCATACATGCAAGGCAGGGGCTCTCTACTAGTGAGCTGCACCCACTCACTGAGTTGCCATGGCTGGCCTTGAACATACTCTGTGGTCCATGGTAGCCTTGAACTTGGGATCTTCTTTCTTCTATTTTTTGAGTAACTAAAGTGACAGACATACTCCACTTGGCTTTCTACAAACTTTAAAACAAACGGCTTTTATTTGGTTTCTGTTGGGTGGTGCTGTTCCAGTGGCTTCTGAGCAGTGTGTAGATGGGCCAGCAGGCAGGCAGGTACTGTCTACAAAGCTGTAGGTCTGCTACTCAAGAAGTGGAGAAAACTGTGTCACCTTCAGAACAAGCCCTGGGGACAAGGAAGGACAGGATTTTATTACCGTGGCCAGGAGCTGTGTGTGTGGGCTTCTTTCTGTTTGCCCGGGGACCTGCTTTATCTTGTCCAGTGGCTCTTTCCTACAATAGCCAAATGTTAGTCCTAACTGCTAAGGTCCGACCTTGTCCCAGGGCATGGATGTAGCTCACACTGTTAGAGGTACAACTTGGAACCAAAGGTAGCAGTTTTGGAAGGGAGTCTGGTTTGGGATGGGGGAGGAGCTCTACCCTAGAGCTTTCTTGGGTTTATTTTGTGGTCTCTGTTCTTTTATACAGTCTCCATGATGCACCAGCAGGCAGCCACATCCCACTACAACTCAGCACAGGGTGGAAGCCAGCATTACCAGGGCCAGGCACCCATTGCCATGATGGGCCAAGGTGGTCAAGGAGGCAGCATGATGGGGCAGCGGCCTATGGCGCCCTACCGACCCTCCCAGCAAGGTAAGGCTGAGGCCTGCTTCAGACCTCGGTGAGAGGTCAGTACTGTCTCTCCAGCTAGGAGTCACAAGGTTTGCTCCAGGACACAAGCAAGGATGCTGGACCTACAGGTCCCATGGGGATACTTGGGTCTAGGGACACAGGTGGTAGTTGTTCTAGTTCCAAAGTATTTGGATTAAGAGGAGAAGGAGGATTGGCGGTTGAATGGTCCTGGGTGTGTTCCTCCCATGGGCAAGGCTTCTTAGCGTGGCTTTGCTGCCAAACCAGGTGTGAGCATCTCACCCACTGCGTGCTGGTCTTGAGTGTCTGGTCACATCCCTACAGGCTCTTCCCAGCAGTACCTGGGCCAGGAGGAGTACTACAGCGAACAGTACAGCCACGGGCAAGGCTCGGCAGAGTCCATGAGTCAGCAGTACTACCCAGACGGTAAGGAGTGCTCCTGGCAGCTGCTGGCTGGCCTGCTCATCATATCTAGAGCTCTGTGTCCTGCCAGCAAAGCATCCTGAGTCCCCTCTGCTTAGCACACTGGGGCACGGACTGAGGCTGGTCTCTGCCAAGAAGAGCGTCATCATGGGACTCCACCCGCCTCTATGAGTTTTCTCTGCCTCCCTGTCCCAGAAGGTAGTAGCAGTCTGAGCTGGGTGGAGCCACCCATCGCTGACAGTTTTATATAATATGGTGGGTTCCAACTTCTAGCCTCCTGCCCTCACTTCTGCAAGGATTGTCACCTTCGGTTACCTTTAAGTGAATTTCTGGAAGCAACATTTAAAGTGACCTTAATAGTGGGTATGGTACCCTAGGCCTAGGATCCCAGGTCTCAGGTGAATAAAGCAGGAAGATTAAGAATCTGAAGCCAGCCTGGGCTACATTAGGCGACCCTGTCTCAATAAATATCCAGGTTTTTGTTGTTGTTGTTGTTGTTTTTTGTTTTGTTTTTTTTGTTGTTTTGTTTTTTTGTTTTCTTGTTTTTCGAAACAGGGTTTCTCTGTGTAGTTCTGGCTGTCCTGAAACTCACTCTGTAGACCAGGCTGGCCTCGAACTCAGAAATCCTCCTGCCTCTGCCTCCAAAGTGCTGGGATTAAAGGCGTACGCCACCACTGGCCGGCCTTCTTTTTGTTTTGTTTTTTTGTTTTGTTTTGTTTTTGTTTGGTTGGTTGGTTTTTGTTTTTTTTAAAGATTTATTTATTTTATGTATATGAGTACACTGTAGCTAGCTGTCTTCAGACACACCAGAAGAGGGCATCAGATCCCATTACAGATGGTTGTGAGCCATCATGTGGTTGCTGGGAATTGAACTCAGGACCTCTGGAAGAGCAGTCAGTGCTCTTAACCGCTGAGCCATCTCACCAGCCCCTAAATATCCATTTTAAGTATAGATTTTGAGAAAAACGGAGGTCTTTGGGAAGCTCTGGCCAGAGCCCTGGTGTCAGTCATAGCATGAGGTAGGCTGCGTGTCTGGGATTGGGGATAAGAGCAGGGTAGGTGACAGAGACAAGTCTTGTACCAAGCCATGATTCCTGGTGTGAGGTGATGGTATGAATACAACACTACTACCCAGAAACTCCCAGGAGCTGTCTAAGGACAGGACAGAGCAGCTGGTGCTGTCAAGAGGGCTTGATTTGCTCTACAATTTACAGCAGCCCCACAGTGTTGCCATTTTAGAGAGGGATGGGGAGAGAGGGGGCGAGAACGAGAGAACAGAGGAGCTTGGAGAGGGTTGGAGAGGTAGACTCAGCCAGTTCTGTTTCATTCCCCTGGCCCGAGTTCAATGTTGCAGAGCCCCATTGTCTCCCAGGACCAAGGCACTGAGACACCTCCATTGACAGCAGGCTGCTTGTTTCCTTGCAGGCCACGGTGACTACGCCTATCAGCAGTCGTCCTACACAGAGCAGAGCTATGACCGCTCATTTGAGGATCCCACACAGCACTACTATGAGGGGGGTAAGCAGCATGGTAGGGCAGGGGTCCTGCCCCCGTGCACAGACTCAGCACAGGCATAGTAGTTCAGATACTACACTCCTAGAGCTAGCAGTGCTGGCCTCCAGCGAGTCTCAGTCAAGTCATCGGCATAGATCTTCAAGCCGGGCTGTGCTTCGGGGCTTCACTTGCCTTGTCCATTTGGGAAACAGGGTGGGATTTGACCGTGTTGGTGATTTTGCTGCTGGGAGACAAACATGCCCGTTCTCCCAGCTTAACAGCCCACACGCTAGTAGAATTGCTGCTTTGGTAAGGAGCTTGCGGCCCCAGCATGGAGACCTTCGTGATGCTGTGGGAATGGGACAGAGAGGGACAGCTGTATGCTGTTGCTGTTGCTTCGTAGCATTTGCCCATCTCTGTGGTGTGGATGTGCCCTTCCTTGCTGACAGGCGTGGGGCATCACCAATGAGATGCCGTAGAATGTGTAAGAGGAGATACACAGTCCCTGAGCATGTAGAGAGTCATGGGCTCAGTAGGACTTACCATGCATGCATCCATGTGTACGCACATACATGCATGCATACATGCTTAGTACATATATATATATTATTTTTTAAAATGAGTGCGAGTAGGCGTGTACACTTGTGCACCCTCACTGGAGCCATCCTTAGAGTACAAAAGAGGGTGCTGAATCTCCTAGAGCTAGAGTTATAGGTGGTTTTGGACCACTTAATGGACTCTGGGACCCAAATTTGGGTCTTGTGGGATAGTAGCCACTGGCTCTTAAACCTCTAAGCCATCTCTCCTGGATTTTTTGTTGTTGTTTGTTTTCTCCACACCAGGGTTTCTCTGTGCTCTGACTATCCTGGAACTCGATCTGTAGACAAGGCTGGTCTTGAACTCAGAGATCTGCCTGCCTCTGCCTCCTGAGTCCTGGATTAAAGGCATGTGCCACCACTGCCCAGTGAAATGTTTAAAAATTGAGCTATAGTCTCTCTTAGAATAACTCCACATGGAGGTCAGTCTCTGTGTATGTGACACTGTCATGTACTGATGCAGCCCACAAGTTTGACTCTGCCTGCTCGGTCTCACTGAGCCCTTCAGACTTGATTCTCAGCAGCTACACTCATTTACACTTTATTCTTTCAAAACCAAACATATAGTGGGCAGGGCACTCATCTCAAGCCTCTGCTGTGGCAGCTCTTTGATGTGCAGCCCCTCGGGGCTGTACTGATGGAATACCAGTTGGGCAACTTGGAACATCAGACCTTTGTCCCCTCCTAGCTCTGGAGGCCTGAGACCTGTGGTCAAGGTGTCTGCAGAGCTACCTTCTGCAGGCTCAGGGCAGGTCTGTTCCAGACCTCTCCAGCATCTGCTGACTGCCGGCAGTCTGGCTCTCTCTTGGCTTGGAGAGACATGTTCCAGACTCTGCCTGCATTGTCTTGTGGCCTCTGTGTATCTGCTCAAATTTCTCTGGCTTCCCACAGACCCTCATTCTTGGCATCCACAGAAGATCTTGTTTCTGATTAAGGTCCCATTTATGTCTTAGGAAGTAAAGATAACTTTGGGGGCTGTATTTTCCTTTTCTTGTTGCTGGGACAAAACACCTGACAGAAGAAACTTAGGGAAGGGTTTAACTTAGGCTTACGGTTTCAGGTACAGTCTGTGTTGACAGGAGCCTCAGACAGCTGCTGTGTCTGTAGGCGGGAAATAGAGAGAGACAAATGCTGGGCTCAGCTCCTTTCTCCTCTTTGTTCATTCGGGGACCCCAGACCATAACTTGGTGCCACCTACATTTAGTTAGGCCTTTTTTTTTTTAAGATTTATTTATTATATATATGAGTATACTGTCACTCTCTTCAGACACACCAGAAGAGTGCATTGGATCTCATTACAGATGGTTATGAGCCACTATGTGGTTGCTGGGAATTGAACTCAGGACCTCTGGAAGAGCAGTCAGTGCTCTTAACCGCTGAGCCATCTCTTCAGCCCTGTGTTAGGCCTTTCAAGAAACACCTTCACAGACAGACTGGGTTGTGTGGTTGTGAATCCAACTGCCTTGACAACAAATGGTCAGCTGTGTGGAGTGGAACATGACCGGCCATTCATGACAGGACTGCCATTAGCCTTTGTCTGAGTGGCTGCATCACCCATTTTGTATTATCTGGCTTTGTCATTTGTATTTTATAAAATAGTAAGATTAAAAAAAAAAGCCATATGATATTTGAGCCATCATGGAAACATACTGCCTCTGGAGACATGGTGAGAGGATTCAATGGTTACTTACTTGTCCTCTAGGTGACAGGGAGCCTTCTGGACTGCTCAGAAATGAGACTGTGCCTCTTCTTTCTGCAGGAAACTCCCAGTACAGTCAGCAGCAGGCTGGGTACCAGCAGGGCACAGCACAGCAGCAGACCTACTCCCAGCAACAATATCCCAACCAACAGAGCTACCCAGGGCAGCAGCAGGGCTACGGTAAGAGGGATGCCTGCCTTCTCACAGAGGGCTGCATACACTGTGATGGTTCCATTCGGGCACAGGCTGAGTTAGCTTATTTTGGCGTGGCTGTTGACCTCTGGAGAGGTTTGGGGTTCTGTCAAGGATTCCCACGTACCCAGTACCCGCCTCCCTGTGTCTGAGATCATCAGTTATCCCTGTACAGTGGTTACAATCAGAAACCAACATCGGGGCCTGGAGAGATGGCTCTGCTATTAACAGCACGGAATTCTCTTGGGGAGGACCTGGATTTGGTTCTCTGTATCCACAAAGTAGATTCCAACTGACCGTAACTCCAGTCCCAGGGGAGATCTGACTCCTTCTTCTGGCCTCTGCTTGATGGAGGTGACGTGCAGATATATGTGCAGAAGGAACGAAAAACAGCATCGGGGAGTAGCTTTCAGGCCACAGCTCTGTGACATTGAAAGTCAGCCTGGGTTTTACCAGGGGTTTGGACTGTGGCTCTGTGGCAGAGAGAGTACTGCTATCTGTGGTGACCTGTGTTTTACACACACACACACACACACACACACACACACACACACACACACACACACACA